CCCGGGGGGGGGGGGGGGGGTATGGAGGCTTAATCTACGGCCTATTAGGGTCTCTGAGACCATTTTCCATTACATATTCACAAATATTTCTTTGTATGCACTCTAGCTTTGAACATTTCTGTACTATATGAGAATTTTTGCACAGCACCAAAGTCAACACTCAACTGGTCATTGGCAGAGAGTAGGTTTTAGACTCGCATCTACTTCCTGCCCGCCCTTTTAACCATCCTAGCTTTAAGCACAGGAAGTGAGGGGGGCAAGGGTTCCTATCCACCTCTTAAACTAAATCTCACTGCCAAGACACTAGTCAACCGATGAACAACTTCCAAGTTTATAATTTTCCCGTTATCTCCCACACCTCACTATTTTCTTCTTCCATAAGGTAACCCCCCAACCCACCCCTACTTAGTTTTGACTTCCATGTGATACATTTTCAGACGTCTCGTTAACACCTGTTTAAACGCTGTTTCCTTCAGTTTAAATTCAGTCTTCCATTTAAGCACCGGTACCTTGTGGTATCCCATATCTCTCTTGCCATTCGGGCTCTACAGAGTGAATTTCTTACAAACGTTACGGTTATTTCCCAATAGACAGATAGATATTCTTTATTTAGATTAAATAATGATTTGTGAGCAGAGATACAAATGCAAAATAGCATTTTAACAATATACACATAAATGTTTCGATAGAGAGAGAGAGAGAGATCTACAACAATATCTAACTCTGTACAAAACATGAACGACCAGCAGAATAATCCATACATTCAACATGGAATTTGAAAGTTATATACAAATTTACGAATATCGCTTGCGTCTTTATAAGCCTAGAAGGCTCTATTCCCATAGACTTTAGATCGATCTATCCCCGCGGGGAGTCTCACTAGATTACTTTCAGATAATCCTACTTAAATGTCCGTCCCGCCTACTACAAGCTTTAAGGGGGTAATTAACTTTCGTGTCCGCCCGGCTGACAGCTATTTAGCGTGAACTCCCAGGGAGTTAGGTCGATCTAAAGTAGGTCGATCTAATCTATGGAAATGGGGTGTAAGAGGCTGTGATAGGGTGGAGGTCCATGTGTGCAAATGAAGTCCGCAGGTTCTCTGTACTAGTAAATATGATGGGTTTGTACTAGCGTAGAATGCGCGATCATTCCTACATGTATCAAGGGTGAGCAGAATATATGTATGTATCTGTACGTAAATGGCTACCCGTTGGGTTGGCCCTTTAATAATTGTGGGAAGTATTTCTTTCTAATGGCTCTCGAATGAACGCTTCAATTTTACCTTCTCTTCCATTTTGAGTATTGGATGACCATAACTCTGTCGAAATTCAAACATTTCACATGGCTTGAGCCGAGTAAACAGTTACATGCATACCTCATATATATATATCAGTTTTGTGTTAAAATGCTGTTTGGAGCAGGAGTGGTAATATGATTATTCCAAAAGTGTTGGCCTTTAAGATGTTAACAAATACTAAGGGACAAAGTAGATCATTTCAAAGATAATAAAAATTAATACACTTTGCGATGTTGTGCAACCCATCCATTTGATTGCACCACCACCAGAAACTTATGCTTTGAACTAGACTCTTTTGCCAGACATTGATGAGCATGTCAATCAATGGCAGATCCAAAAAAAGGGGGGGGGGGGGGCACGACGTTCACGTGACTCTCAATCGGCTTCTTGGGCAATCCTCCCCCCTCCCTTCTCTCCCTAAGAGAAAAACGGTATAACGAGCCAGACGAACCAAAATCAAGTGGATTTCCATCTCTGTCCCCTACAAGGACCGCAACAGATTTAAATCTCAGAGGCAGAATTGACAGCTCAAAGGGTTTTCGTCAGCTCCAACGATCCCAGCGTTGTTCAATTGTCAAATACAATTACATGTATTAGCGTTAGCCCAAATCAGTCTGTTCACGGAGTGCACTTTTTTTTCATTTTCCTGGCTCCTACACGGTCTTTTCCTGGCAAATTTTACACAAGCCAAAGATTTTATTCTTGACAAAATCCATTACCAGTATCTAATGAATTTAGTTTCCCATATTACAACGTCGCGACAATCTCTGCATAAGGCGGTGCATTTTACTTGCGGTGAAGCCTCAAGCGCCCATCAAGTGACCAAAGGAGTACGAAGAAAAAAGTGAAAAAAAGAACATGTAAGCCAACGCATCAACACATTGCCTTTCTCAAATTTACAGATTTGCTAGAACAAGAAAATCTGCAGAAACGGATTACATAGCTTTATGCGAGGAGAAGTTAATCCATGCTGTTATTACCCTGGAAATGTTTCAAAGGTAGCGGTTCGTTCTCGCTATCATCCGACAAACGCTGTTTAGATCTGTAAGACATGCTGGTTCTTTTAGTGCTTGAATTCCCAATTGCCAAAGCATGTCTACGGCACGGCCACAGTGCTCTTATGAATGCCAACCGGAATTCCTTTGAGACAAAGTTGTATAAAATTGGGTTAACGCTCGAATTTGCAAAGGCAAGGATAATTGCCGCTGTCTGTATGTATTCAGTTAATTGCTTCAGTTGGTTCGGTCTCGTATCGGGCCTGGCGTTCCCGTGTTCGTCCATACGCAGGACATTCCACAGAAACAGCGCGTGGAGCGGTCCCCAACATACTATGAAAATCATAAACACTAAAATCACCAGAATCATGAGGCGCTTACTGGCGCGCTTAGAGGCGCGGTAAAATCCGTCAGATTTAACGGTTGAGATGCCAAGACTTCGGCTCTCGTCGCGGATTGTCCACACCTGCACCACGATGAGTGTGGACAAGATGGCGACAATCACGGCAGGAAGAGCGAAGTCAATTCCAAAGGTGACGGAGACATACAGTTCGTACACCCACTGTCCTTTATAGATGATACTGCAATTGTACTCGGAGTCCTCTCCGTAAAGGACCAACAACGGGATGTTGAGCACGAGCATAACGACCCATGCGGCTATGCTAGCTTTGTATGCCGTTGTCCGGCCCAACATTTGGCGAAGATGCAAAGGGTACTTAATCCCTGCAAAGCGTAGAACACAAATGGCGACGAGGGAGTATATGCTCACTCCCATGCTGACGTAGGTAGCGTAGGTTGAAGTCTTACAGAGAAAGCGCCCAAGGCGGAGCTGGTACGACGTCGCAAACAGAGCCGCTCGAATGGGGATGCAGAATACGTTGAATAAGAGGTCTGCAATAGCGAGATTCATGAACAAAACGTTCATCTGTCTGTTCCGGCACACCACGTAGATTACCGAAGCGTTCCCAACGATCCCAACAAGACATATTGTTATCAGAATGGCTGGCATTCCCACTTCATAGAATGAAGGTCCATCCTCAACCGTGACGTTAGTGCTGTTCATGGCTATCCGTGAAACAAGAAGAGTGCCAAGCCAGACGCAACACTGAGCCACGTTGCCGATGTTCGACGATTAAATGTAGAAATATGCCTCAATGTCTCAAAAGACAACACGTACAACGCTAATTGTGACGTTGCCTAACAGTCTGATTCGTTGGATTGTTTGAAGATTTGAATATCTTTTATCCTTTATGCCACTTTAAACACCGCCATGTCATTCTGATTCAACAACGTCATTCAGTTTATAAATATCTACTGTTACGCGTGTGCATTGTTAGCACCTCGTTTTTTTAATAATTGCAGTCATATTGTATATAATCATGTCAGAACGCTTTGGTTAGCGTGTTGGTAGTCGATCCAGCAGTTTTGATGCTACTTTTTTTTTTTGGAAATTGGCCGGCAGCTAGATCTTCAAGATTAAGTAGTTCAGCGTCTGAAAATCTCCTCCAACTGATCCCACTTTTTTGGTCGATGTTTGAAATCTGTTTGATGCTGCCGTACACTAGTCCGCCATTCAATCTGTGCATAAAACAATAATTCCAAACGTTAAGTAAATTGCGAAAATAACATTACAATTTCAACTAAGATAAGGTCAATGTGTATGTATTTCGGCTATTTGGTTATCTGTTCTTATTGCAATTTTAAAAAGTTATGTTGTGACAGATACATACCCTGTCTACAGATGCGACAGCTCGAATTGCTCATTATTTTCGGGGTTGTTTGTGAAACCATGTGGACATGGCACAAATCGGTAATTAATTGATAAATTAATGACGTAAATGGCAAGAGAAAAAAAACGCAAAGTCTTACCTGGTTTATTATTTAAGTGCCCATGCAAGCATTCGTAGTCTAAATGTGGCATTCCATTCAGCTAACATGTTAAAGATATCAGCGTCATTTGCCCCCTGAATGCTGCTGGTTTCATTTAAGTCGCCATTCGTCAGACTGCTGCTTATTTTAGGCCGGAGCGTTCAAAATAACTGCGGCTTACAATTAATTATTTGTAATCCTCGAGGACTGTTTTTAAAAACTTTACAGCCTTTGAAGTTAGATACTTTAATTTGGCCACCGTATGATGCATGTCCCTTTCAATATCCTTAAGCTTGCTCTCGTCAGGATACGGATACCTTTCATCCGATTGCAACGATTGGCAGGGAGGCTTTTAGCTAACGTCAGACACTGTAAGCTTAGCGCAGCTGCCTCCGTGTTCATCATCAGATCTCCTCGCGGTTATTAGCTTCAAGTTTCCTATTTCATCAGCACGCTTCTAATCAAACTTCATAAAAACACCGGATCTAGGCGTTTTGTTTTTTACTTCTTTTTTGCATCATTAACACCAGATCCTGCTGGGTGCGAAAGCAAATTGTAAAGCGTTTTGCTCGAGAGTGTGGTTGCCCAAGACGTCTATTTTAGCGCTCCTTTCACTTGCCCCTAGTGGATGAATCTGCTGAAGATATCGGCATTTGTCAACGATGATCCGAGTTTCTTGTCACAGTTGTCTGTCACTGCGCTGTTTGCGGCGCAAAAGCCGTGTATATTCCCGCTGACGCATGTCCCTTATTTATAACATGCAGTGAAAGCTGTAAATTGGATGGCAATCACAGCATCACGCAAGCTTTATTTTCTGTTCATTAGATCTATTATTATATATCTTCCTCGTCTCATAAACAGTACCTGTACCTGTAAATGAATCACCTTGCTTATTCAAACGTTCGCTAGAAGAAATAACCGGTAAGACTGTTCACTTCAGATCCGACGTCTTTACATACCGCTACTGAAATGCCAATGCGACATCCCCTTCTACTTTAATCTGCTTCACGCGCCAACTACATCTATCTGATTGGAGCAGCCCTATGTGGCTTTAATATCCAGATCGTCTAGAGGCATACGTAATAAGCGGCAGTTGTCTTATGCGGGGTGATCGAGGTTGCGCGAGTGGCACGTGCAATTTACCCCCCATTATTTTGATTTCCCAACTGTCTTGAAACCCCACACGTATGAGATAATCTCCAGCATCAGTTGACAATTGCGCAATTAGGAATTGATTTTTACGTGTCAAAGATGACAGTTTAAATAGGGTCTCCGGGATGCCTCACTAAAACGTCCGATTGATTTCAGAGTTTATGGATTTGCTTGTTCGCCACATTTTTAATTTCTTCATTCATGCAGCTAACGCTATTCACTGATGGTCGCGCTTTAAGATGCGCACATTAATGCCGATAAAGCCACGGCGTTGTTTACTGTCCAATTTACTGAACAGGTATTAAAATTGTCCATATTAATGTCGTGCGTCCTATCAGTGGACACCTGTTTGAATGACCACATTATTGTCATTAGTGCAGTCAACTATAGGTACTGTCTGTCCGTCTGTCCTGGCTGTTTCAACTTTAAATGAAGGAATGTCAGATGTTCAGATTTTATGAATAGCTTTCTAAATTGATTTATTCACGGGCTACATAAAGTTTTAATGGCTAAGTATTTGCAAGGAGGTGGAATGATCTCAGAACGATTGCCTTGTGGTACTTACTGTACTTATCACCTCTTTGCGTTTGACTGATTGCGTCAGTTTAACAATCACGTTAGCTACATAGTCTGTCAATAGTCACTTTGCACTGGCTGTCAATTACGGGCCTGCTGATAAGGTTTTCCACACAAAGTTAACACTGTGATTGGCAGTGCAGGTTATATATTATGTATTGAACGACATGGCTGGGGGTAGTAGTTTTATTTGTTCATACCAGTACATGCTGTCCCTCAAATTAAAGATGTGGTGATTGTATGTCCCCCACTTGGGAATCGAATGTAAGGATTTTGTCTACAGGCGGGGTAAAGGCTTTAAGACTCAGATCGCTGGGTGGGTGTGCAAAAGAAACATTTAAGACGCCAATAACTCGTTCCTTCTAGGTCTGCCAACGCACATAAAGTATATACGCACAATAGAGAAACGTGTGTATATATAATCAATAATGGCAACTGGGTGGACCTGCGGTTGCGAAATACCTGGCACTGATTATTCTGTTTACTCTCCGGTACAGATTTCTCATCTCAATTGGCAAATCGTGATTGACATAATAAAATGATGAGTGAAATGAGACGTGCCGAACCACTGGCTAAGCACTAATACTTCTGTTGAACATGGGACCAAGTAGCTTCTAGTATTTTCAGAGCTGTAAACTGCTCCCATAAACGGTTTTTTGCTGTTGGCTCGAGTTTCTTTTGTAGCTATAAATTAAAAGAACCATGCAGTCAGTCAACAGTATCCGTTAAGCGATGCAGGGGATGTCTAGACCAGTGGCTGATCCGGGAGGAGGGGAGGGGAGGGGAGGATGGTGATGGTGGTGGGGAGGGGGGTTATAGCGGGCTTGTGTTTCTCCTTTAGCTTCGGAAGAACTACCTGCCCTATCTTCCTCCCTAACGACAGAATAAAGAATGCAACGAGACCAAATTTCCACATCCCACTATCTTACACATACCGGTACATGTATATTGTAATTTTTTCTTTGTTCACTATTTTTTATCTGCTGAGGATTCCTCCTTGCCCCCCCTCCATTTTTCTTGTTAGCAAAACCGTACATATAATACGCCAGCTAATAGGCATAAAAGCTGGGATTTTCACAGCGCGGAATAACCCTAATAAAACCTGATAATCACGTAAAACTCCATTAGGATTGAATTATGGTCGGATAGTAGAATTAACGGTAGTATTGGGCTGTCGCTAAATTTTATCTTATTGCATAATTGGTCATACAGGTTACAGAATGTCTTGGAGCTTGATTAATTGTTCTTTTGTAAATGTTATGAGGAAACTTAATGTATTTCTTAATGAAGTTTTTGCCAAGTCAAGGACAGATTAACATGTATCTGTGCTCTCACTCCTAATCTGGCGTTACTTCAGATTGAATCCCATTTCATCTTATTGCATTACTGCTTCATCAGCCCGGTTGATATTATTGAAAGACTTGCATTTTTTTTTTTGATAGATCGGTGAATCATTTTCAAGTTTGCATTTAGCTAGAAATAATGACAATACGTTTTTGCCAGTGACTTCAATTTTCGAAACCCGTACGTTGAACGTTGTTGTCGTGACAGACTTTCCGTTGGAGTTTGGTTTAAACTGAATGTGCAGCACAACGTTCCGTTTATTTATTTGATTCAGTTCGCCTTAATAGGGATTAAGTTAGGACTTTTTATAGATCAGTGTTTAGGTTACAAAAACTACGAAGGGGATAAAGAGGGACATTCAGAGGGACATTCAGCTATAAATGTTACCTTTCTTTAAATTTAAGGCTTAAGTCGTTTTATGAAGCAGTCCTTGCTGTATACAGTAAGTAATAAATATTATAGGGACTACCCCTGTAGTTATCATATATCGTGCCACTGTGTTTCTCAAATTCATCCGGAGAGCAGCGTGAGGAGGACTCGGTACTCCTAGGCCGTATTCAGAACAGCTCGGCGGATCAAACATGGCCGACCCACTTGAATGCTTGTCGCTTAATCCTCACAGGGAACCAGTTCAGTGACTATAAGGATATTATGCGGCAAGCTTTCACGTGGGTCGACATATTTGATCCGCGGATATGTTAGTCCGCTGTTGTGAATCCACTCCATCTCATCATTCAACCTATATTACTTCAGCCATTTACATCATTGTGCTGAAGAATTATTTATCTTTAGTTTTAGTTTTACATGACTGTTTTAAGTCGTATCTATCACTCGGCTTACATGTTGCGGAAAACGTACAGTACATGACAATACATTATATCATTTATGGATTGGTGTCAGATTGATACAGACACATACATGTTACTCGTTCACCCATTCACGTAAGGTATCATTTTGTCATAAAAACCGCCAGACTAAAGCATGTCGTCGTTTAGTGTTTCGAATTAGGTTCGGTATAAAAAATGCAATCTCCCAACCGAAGAAATGAATACTAAACTGACAACCATCTTCCACGCGATTACACATCTAACTGAGTTGCATGACGTGTACGTTTTAGGGCGTGATGTTCCAACAATGTGTCCATTGATTTTATGGTAAATATCATCATCTGTTGTTCTCAATATTTGGGGAAATCCGTAGCGTGGCAATTAAAAGAGAACTGTAGTGCTGTAGACCTTAAAAAGTTGCGAAAAAAAGCCTTGCAGTAAGAGTTGNTTTTTTTTTTTTTTTTTTTGATAGATCGGTGAATCATTTTCAAGTTTGCATTTAGCTAGAAATAATGACAATACGTTTTTGCCAGTGACTTCAATTTTCGAAACCCGTACGTTGAACGTTGTTGTCGTGACAGACTTTCCGTTGGAGTTTGGTTTAAACTGAATGTGCAGCACAACGTTCCGTTTATTTATTTGATTCAGTTCGCCTTAATAGGGATTAAGTTAGGACTTTTTATAGATCAGTGTTTAGGTTACAAAAACTACGAAGGGGATAAAGAGGGACATTCAGAGGGACATTCAGCTATAAGTGTTACCTTTCTTTAAATTTAAGGCTTAAGTCGTTTTATGAAGCAGTCCTTGCTGTATACAGTAAGTAATAAATATTATAGGGACTACCCCTGTAGTTATCATATATCGTGCCACTGTGTTTCTCAAATTCATCCGGAGAGCAGCGTGAGGAGGACTCGGTACTCCTAGGCCGTATTCAGAACAGCTCGGCGGATCAAACATGGCCGACCCACTTGAATGCTTGTCGCTTAATCCTCACAGGGAACCAGTTCAGTGACTATAAGGAGATTATGCGGCAAGCTTTCACGTGGGTCGACATATTTGATCCGCGGATATGTTAGTCCGCTGTTGTGAATCCACTCCATCTCATCATTCAACCTATATTACTTCAGCCATTTACATCATTGTGCTGAAGAATTATTTATCTTTAGTTTTAGTTTTACATGACTGTTTTAAGTCGTATCTATCACTCGGCTTACATGTTGCGGAAAACGTACAGTACATGACGATACATTATATCATTTATGGATTGGTGTCAGATTGATACAGACACATACATGTTACTCGTTCACCCATTCACGTAAGGTATCATTTTGTCATAAAAACCGCCAGACTAAAGCATGTCGTCGTTTAGTGTTTCGAATTAGGTTCGGTATAAAAAATGCAATCTCCCAACCGAAGAAATGAATACTAAACTGACAACCATCTTCCACGCGATTACACATCTAACTGAGTTGCATGACGTGTACGTTTTAGGGCGTGATGTTCCAACAATGTGTCCATTGATTTTATGGTAAATATCATCATCTGTTGTTCTCAATATTTGGGAAAATCCGTAGCGTGGCAATTAAAAGAGAACTGTAGTGCTGTAGACCTTAAAAAGTTGCGAAAAAAAGCCTTGCAGTAAGAGTTGACAGGCCTCTTTTGTGTGGCGCGTATAGCCCAAATTTTCGATGAAAAATAGCATTCTGACTAATGGCAGATGATTTGGGGATTAACTCGCTCAAATAACATGTAGGAAGACTCCTTAGTTTGCATTTGTATAGTTAGAAGTAACATTAATTTGCCTCAGTGAGGGGTACCTCTGAAGTAACTTTTTATTTGTTTTCGCGACATCTGTGTCAAACTGACTAAATTCAAAGCCTGGACCCAGTCAGAGTATTATCTTGTCTTTGAATTTTTCATAATTTATGATATAACGGCTATAACAATGGAATAGGGCAGAGTTACAGCAATGGCTTAGAGATGTGTCATTCCTGCTTTAGCTATTAGGCAAGATTCAAATCTAAATATGCAAACACCTACATTTGCAGGTGCGCGTTTGAGATTGTGCAAAAACTATAACTTTGTCTCTTTTTGGAAAAG